AAGTAACTTTGAAGAGAATCGTGTTCTATAAGCAAAAAAAAAAAAAAGGTTCAGAGCATGTTGAATTATGCAATGAAACAGCATCAGCAAAAGAATGCAAAAAGAAACACGAGAAAAAAATTACTGAAAATTTAGTTATATAGTTGAATATATAACTAAAGTCTTAGAAAATTTCAGTTCTGGAAAGGACCTTATTTAGACTGGCTAGATTATATGGGGAAAAGTAAAACAAACAGGTCAGAAAAGTGGCCTGAGAAGCTGGCAGTAACAAGATGAGAGCTCTGTACCAAGAAGGTAACTCCAAAACAAGGTATAGATGTACCAGTGGGGAGTGAGACTGGAAGCAGGAACCCAATTAGAAGATCATTAAACCCAAGCAAAACATAATGAGGTTGCAGAGGAAAGGGAATGAATGAGAGCTAAATTATGGAGGCAGAATCAACAGAATTTGCTGAATAATTGGATGTGCTGGCAAGGAGTATACCCATTATCATTTTTGTTTTCCTCCTATCCATATTGCAAGACCAGGGGTTAAGGGAAGCCAATAATCTTAGCTACATCTAGAATAAATACTTTTACAAAGTATCTGTCCTTCAGATGATGATTTTCTTTTGTAACACAGAGAAAAGTGGATTTATAAAAAGCATCCTATTTACTTTCTTGAAAAAAAACAGCTTTAAACATGGCTTAAATACTTTATTTCAGGAAATGCAAATATATCTTACTACTATAATATGAGAAAAATCAACAAACTCCCAGAAAAAATGAATGTTTCTACAGTATATGATTAAATAATATCACTGTAAAACAAGTTATGAACATGTATCATCCACCTACCTATAATCATGCAATTTAAAAATAATCTTAGAACAGGCCTCATAAAAATTCTAGAATATAACTACAATATAGAGAACAAGTGTTTACTATATGCCAATACTAAAATAAGATACACATGTTATCTCATTTAATCTTCATAATTCTATAAAGTTGATCCTAATATGGTCCTGCATCTTATAGCTAAAGAAGCTAAGTCTAAGAAAGGTCAAGGCTTGCTTAGATTTCATACCTAGTAAGAGTGGTAGAGCCAGGATCTGAACCCATGTTTGTTTAATTCTAAAGGCCATTTCTTAACCACTATACATACTGTCTATAACTGAAATCATATTGGAGTTTTTTGGTTGAGCCTTCAAAAATTACAATAACAAAATCATAAATTAGCAATTGTAATTTAACAATTTACTGAAAAACAGAAACTACAAGTAAGCATAACACTTCTTGATACTGTTAGCTAGAAGGACTTGCACACTAATGGAAATTCACACCAACAATATGTCAAGTCTGTGTACATAACCTCCACTCTCTGTCTGAGTTACAGTAGCAGGTGTATACAAAACATGCCAGAAAAAGAGTGGTGACCTAAATTTAACCTGCAATGCTTGGAGCAGCACAGAATGGTATTTATGAGTCACAGGAATCTAATATGTAGATAAAATGTGCTGCCCTCTAGTGATTTCAACACCTCCCATTTAACACTACACAGTCTCATAAGTGAAAAAGAAAAAAATTATTATTAGAGAACTAATTCAAATCTTCATTTCATTTTATGATAAGATAAATAGAATAAATAACTATTGTTTAAGCCAAAACTAAACTTTTGGTGTGTAAGACCAAGTATAGAAATATATCTAATACTAATTACTCACTAATTCAGAATGGTTAAGGAAATACCAGTACAGAACACATGAAAGACAAATTAAAGTATACAGTGTGGTTACATTTTATGCAAGGGATTTATGCCTTAAAACACAATTCAAACCCTGCTACTTCAAAGCTTTTTTTCCTACAGGAATAAGTGTAAAGACAGATTGAAGTACATTACAAGTATTTTACTGTATTTCTTTTTCAAGGATAGTTTTAAAGCACAATAAATGACTATAATAAAATCTGTTTTTAAGAATGCTTTAAAAACATAAAGTATTTGCAGTAAGGTGTCTTCTATCACTATCACTTACTTCCCAAATATCAAAAATATTTCCTATTTTAACACAAATGATAGCTTGGTTAGAAGTGCACTAGAATGGTTGTGATTTTAGAGCCAGGATGATAGAATATTCTAAATTTAACAATAAAAGAAAAAATAACAGCAAAATAATCACCAAAACCACACACAGAAGTTCCCATGCATGTAAACAACAGTATGGTTCACAGGATATTGACAAAGGATGCTCAGTATTTCTGGTTACCAGCTAAAGTACCACCTAGAGCAACCACGGTTTATAATTCACCAGGCTTACCAGCTCTGAAACTAAGTGATTCTTGATGAATTTTTTTTTTTAATTTTTGGGATTTGCATTATTTAAAATTTTTAAATCATGAAAATTTGCTTACTTAAAATTAGCTTAACAGAAACCTACTCTATTTTTAACAGCTTTTTTTTTTCTGGTAGAAAACATTACCTTTCACTTTGTTTTGTTTTTTTAACAGCTCTACTGAAATATAATTTACATACCATAAAATTCCCTTTCATAAGTGTAAATTCAATGAGTTTTAGTATAGAGTTGTGGAACCATCCTATAATTCAGTGTTAGAATATGATTTTTAAAGTGTTATTAACTTCACCTATCCCAAATAACTTGTTATAACTAACAACTCAAGTTTTTTGACTCTGTTATTTCTTAAAATATGGTTTTATTGCCCAGCCAGGCGTGGCTCAGCGGTTGAGTATCGACCTAGCAACCAGGCGATCGGGGTTTGATTCCCGGTCAGGGCACATGCCTGGGTTTCGGGATAGGCAGCGGATCAATGACTCTCTCATCATTGATGTTTCTATCTCTCTCTCTCCCCCTCCTNAGTCAGGGCACATGCCTGGGTTTTGGGATAGGCAGCGGATCAATGACTCTCTCATCATTGATGTTTCTATCTCTCTCTCTCCCCCTCCTTTCCTCTCTCTGAAATCAATAAAGATATGTTTAAAAATATATTTGAAGGGAGAGAGGGGGAGATAGAGAAGAAAAAAAAGAGAGAGAGACATTGATGTGAGAGCGAAACATTGATTGGCTGCCTCCCATATGTACCCCGACCAGGAATTGCTCGGGATCTAACCCGCAACCTGGGCATGTGCCCTGACCAGAAATTGAACCAGTGACCTTTCGGTGCAAGGGACAATGCTCAACCAACTGAGCCACACCAGCCAGGGAGGCTTTGTTATTTTTTAATAAGAGAATAGATATATTCTCTTTCAATAAACACACTGTTATCTAAAAAAAGTGCTAAGACTATTTTAAACATATTAAAAGAATCATGCTGAGGAAAATTTAAACTGTCCTCCTATAATCTTGTCTGCAATGTAACTTGGTAAACTACTGTAGACAGTACAAATGTAAAATTAAGTATACTGTTTATATATATTTTTTATTGATTGATTGATATCAGGGCGAGAGGGAGAGAGGGAGGGGGAGGGGGAAGGAGAGGGAGAGAGGAGGAGAAGGAGGGGGGAGAGAGAGAGAGAGAAACATCGATTTGTTGTTCCACTGATTTATGCATTCATTGGTTGATTCTTGTATGTGCCATGTGCCCAACCAGGGATCGAACCTGCAACCTTGGCGTATCAGGACAATTCTCTAACCAACTGAGCTACCTGGCCAGGGCCTATACTGTTTATATTTTGAATTCCAAATTCGTGAAATAAGTTTTGCTGAGGCTCTACCCTTGTCAATAAAACCGGACCCATGTGCCTTCCAAAACTAAGATGATTGCAAGGGATTGTAAAACCAGCTATGAACACTTAGGGCAAATACCTACCTGCAAAAAAGCTCAGTACTGGCAATATTTCCAAAGAAAATGTGAATTTATATTAACCTCTTTTTCAAAAAAAAATTTACATTTTCCTAAATTACTAGTTAAGTAGATAAATATACATACATTTTAGTATGATATATAATAAAGTATCCCATGATATCTTTATGATCAAGGTAAAAAAATGTGAAAGTAGAATCAGTTGAATTTATAGCTGGTTGAACAACAAAGTATCTTAATAATTCTCGGTGAAACTAATATAATATTGTTGTCAACTGTAATTGAAAATTTTTTTAAAAATTTTTAAATAATGATTCTTCAGACCTAAGGTAACTTGAAAGTGCCATGCCTCAAATATCTGACTCTGGTCCCGTCCACTTTCAGATGGATGATGTGATATAATAAATAATATATATTTATCAGGTTCCTGATACAGAGCTCCTAAAACCCTTAGAATTTCCTGAGTGATGAGGGTGACCGGAGCATCTTTTTCTATTTATAATAAGCCCCTTTCAACCATAACTGAGTTTATGCTAATTAGGGGACTTCAAGGATGGTGGCTGCTTGCCAAGGGAACCAATCATGTGACTAGAAGGTTGGAACTTTAAGCTCCAACCCTGACCCCAGAGGGGAGTGAGGCTGGAGAGTAAGTTAATTACCAATGGTAAATGGTTTAATCAATGGCGCCTACTTAGTGAAGCCTCCATAAGAATGCTAAACTACAGGGTTCAGAGAGCTTCCAGGTTGGTGAACACATCCAGGTGCTGGGAAGGTGGTGCGTCTGGAAAGGGCATGAAAACTCCATGTGGGTTTTTTAAAATCGATTTTAGAGAGAGAGGCAGGGTGTGTGTGTGTGAGAGAGAGAGTAACATCAATTGGTTGCCTCCTATACCCACCAAGACTCAGGATTGAACTGGAAACCTAGGTAAGTGCCCTGACAGGAAACTGAACCTGTGACCTTTTGGTGTACAGGACGACACTCCAACAAATTGAGCCACATCGGCCCAGGCTTGAATTTTACATCTTAAAGGCATTAAGTTCACTTGAAAAATACAACTGAAAGAAAAAAAATAAATATGATAGAATATTTTTGCTCTTTGCTATTTCATAAAAAATATGTAACTATATTAATACACTTAAATGATTACAATATAAAAAAAGAAAATCATACATTTAATAAAAACCATGTAAAATATCCATCTTACCAACATCATTAGCAAGAGAATTAGGATCAGATGCCCCCAGCGTAGCTTCAAACTCCTCTTGGAGACGATATGCTCTTTGCAGCAGAGATTCAAGTTTATGGATAAATTCAGTACTAATAATGTCCTACAAAGAGAGAAAAAGTACACACAGCAACATTATATCCTAATGTTAAACTTCGAAACATTTTCCACTTTTAAATGAAAGGCAGAGAAGTAAGGGATATAAAAAACTACTGCTGGGTGGTGAGAGGGCTGTGACAGGAGTCAGGAGGCCTGGGTTCTAGCTGCACTTCTGGCTAAATCATCTCAGTTCTCAGGGTTTGTTTCTGTGAATCTGAGTTGGACTAGATCAGGGATTCCCTAAGTAAGGTCCCTGGACCAGCAGCATCAATATTATCTGGGAACTTGTTAGAAATGCAAATTCCCAGAACCTACCTCAGCCCCACTGAATTAAAACCCTGGGGGTGGGGTCCTTAAACCTGTGTTCTGATGCATGCCCGAATTTAAGAATCACTAGCCCAGGTGATCAGTAAGTACCAGTCCAGCCTAATTCTATGTGATTTCTATGAGTATAATAGAACTTAATTAATCCCAAAACACTAAATAGACTTTTATAAATTCCTTTAGAAATCATATCTGCTTAATTCCATACATTCTTAGAAAATCGGGAAACTTGATGATAAATTGCCAATTTGGAATTTAACAACTAACTGAAAAGAAAAGCCCAATAAGAAATAGCCCCAAATAATCCCAGGGGAGAAAATAAACAGTTCTATTAAATGCCACAGAAAGCAAGTGCACTGAATCAACACTAAAAATAGTTTGATCCCTCTGGTACTATAAAGACCACTCTCAAATCACCCTTAACTTACATCTACACTTTCTTCAGCAATGGCATCTCCTGCACCCAATTTAATGGAACTACAGGCTTCATCCTCAGCTTGTCTATTTCGAAAGGTGAGAGCTTGTTCCCATCGACGCAAAGCCTCTTCAAATAATTCCATACCTGAAAATTAAGAACAGAATAATTGTAAGTAAGCAAATCAATACCAAAATAAAATCATTTGGGGTCTGAAGTGTTTTTCATACCGTTATCATCAATGGCAAACACAGTCTGACTGTGATTTTGGCACTAAAGGATAATTTTATGCTCACATCATTTCATAGTATAATCTTAATTTCCCAATGTATTCCAGTAGTTCCAGTCAACCAAAAATCAGAGAGAAATAACTAGTGTTTCTGTTTTAAAAAAATGTAACTCAAATGCATCTAGTGCTTGGAATTTTTCTGCAACAGTACCATGAATTCATCAAAGTCCAACAATAATGGCTAATTTTTAAGTCACACAACTATCTTTCAAAATAACTCCCTAAGTCAAAATGAAAACTGTTAGGTAAATAAAAGAAACTAGTTGATAAGAAGCTATCAGGTTTATAAAGGTCCTCAGAAGGAAAGAGTAAAGTTAAGAGGGAAGATAATAGCATAGAAGTTCGAATATAGTATTTTCTATCCTGTATTCCATTCAAAGGTGTCTTAAATGAGTACGATACCAACTTGCTGATCTGGATGGAAAAATCACTGGGCCAGAGTTAAAAAAACCTGACTATGGGAAGAACCCATAAGGGATAGTTCAAGTAGGAATTTCATATCCCTGCTGATGTGGAAAAAGAGGTGAATATGTGGCCTCTTTTTCTTTATATTAAAAAAAAAAAGGCTTGCCAAAACAAAAATTTTTCAAAACTTTAATTTTTTTAGATATTTAAAAGAAAAAGATCTTTAAAAGCTGCTTAAGAATTTGTGCAAGTCATTCTCAAGATGTAAGATTCGATAGTAAAAGAATACCTCTCCTCTGAAAACATTTCTTCAATTACCTGGAGGTCCTACAATTCTAAAAAGATAAAATGTTCTTTTAATATAATTTAGGTCTTTCCTTCTTGTTTTATTTTTTGTAGCAAAGAATCACTACCTAGACCTTCCTTCTAAAAATTTTAAGCACTTAAAAGACAATGACTGTATATCACTTTCTACTCTCGTTTCTCCAAACTACACAATTCTAATTTCTCCAGCCTTTCCTCACTTTATCCACTTTCTATCCATCTGATTACTTTGGCTGAACATAGGAAGAATTATCTATCAGCAGAGTTGTCTCTCGAGAAGTACTGGGTCTTACCTCACTGAGGAACGTGGAAAAACTATCGAATATCATCAGTTTTGTAACAGAAATTCAAACTATGTCACGAATCTTTTTTCATGTCGTCAATCTTGTAAAGGAATTGAAACAACAGGTGGGTGACCAGGTGATCCACAGAGCTCTTAACAATCCTGATTCTATGATACTCAGGCTCCTAGCAGCTTCTCTAGTTTTGCTCTATTTCTCTTCAATATTCCAAAAGAATCTGTGAGGTAGGTTTACTAGACATAGTTAGAGTAATCTAGAAGCACAGTGAACTTAATTCTCTGAAGACCTTTGGAAATGGTGGCAAAAGAACTACTCTTCCATCTCTCCCCACTGGCAGGAGTACCACTGGAGATGATCAGGCTCCAGCGATCCTAGACTGTGGGAACGCATTCAGAGGCACGCAGCCCTCTGCCAAATCATCCTCCCCTTGACTGCTCATTGTCTGGGAGCTACATCAAGGTTTTCTGAGTTTGTTTTTAACTAGTAGGAATTTCCTTTCATTAAAAGGAATATAGCCTGAAATGGAGTAGAGAAGAAAAGTGAAAAGCATCTGAAAAAGTATTTGATCTGACTCGGTGTTACGTTCTCTGGTTCGCTCTTCTGATTTCCAGTGAGACTTTCTAGACATGCTCATGGTCAAGCCAAGAGGAACACTGAGATGTAAACACAGACCTCTTTCTATTTAAAATCTTCTCTGAATATAAGAAGAAAACAAATGACAGCTAGATAAAACAGAGTAAGTAAAGTGGGTTCTGACAGATTCGTTGGATGAGCGCCAACAGATTAGGTTAGGTGAGTGTCATAAATAGACTGAATAATGGCCACCCAAAGGTATCAGGTCCTAGTCTCTGGATCTTATAAATGTTATCTTATAAGGAGAAGGGGTCTTTGCAGCTGTGATTAAATTAAGGCTTGTAATATGGAGAGAGAGATTACCTGGTGGGCACTAAATTCAATCACAACTTGTAAGAGAGAGGCAGAGGGAGATTAGATATACACAGAGGAGAAGGTTAAACAAAGAGAAAGGCAGAAACTGAAATTAGGAGGCCACAAGCCAGAAGCCACTGGAAGCTAGAAGAGGCAAGAAACCAATTCTCTACTAAGCCTCCAGAGGGAGCATGGTCCTAATGACACCTGGATTTCAACCTAGCAATAAAGATTTCAGACTTCTTGCCTCCAGAATTCTGAAAGAATAAATTTCTGCTGTTTTAAGCCACTAAGTGGAAATTTGTGACAGCATCCTTAGAAAACTAATACAGTAGGTTGAGTTATGTACACTAGATTCAGCAGATATAAGAACATTTTAAAATTATAGTAGTTTCCCTTAAAACAATCCATAATTTTCAGTTTCACATTAAATGTGAATATAAAATCTTAAAACCTTATTATGTTATTCCTACCCATCAAGTATAAGTTCTCAGGAGTAGTCACAGGAATATTAACAAGTTTAATATCATCTTCATCTGCTTTGTCCCAGGAATTAGAATTGCCACAAGCATAGCTATGACAAGAATTGACACTCTGCACCTAAAATGAAAATGGACAAAAGTTACTTCAAAATATTTTTTTATAGTATTTTTTGACCTTTTATATTTATAAATTATTTATATAAATCCTATTTCTGGTAAAAACAACTCATGTTATTTCTACCTGAAGAAATAAATTTGATTATGTTCCATCAAATTTAGGAGTCATAAGAACCTAAAAATTTTGAGCCTTAGTTGCTCAAAAATACACAAGTGAAACAGTATTTTTGAACATAAATCAGTTATTTCTATAAAAAATCAAACTATTTTTAAAAAATAGTTTACTGTTTTATTAAGTATTATAAATTTTATCCACACCTACTTTGATTTGAGGTAGTGTTAACCTAAAAATAAAAGGCTAAAGTGAAAGGCAACAAGCATTTATTTGTGATCCAGAAGAATAGCTATTCAAGCATCACTGATTCAGGCAGAAGTCCCAACAGTCCCTTTCCTGAGTAGGAAAGGAAGGCAAGGGGTATTTATGAGAAAGAGGAGGGGACCAATTACTCAATGAAGAAAGGAATTTCTGTACGTGCAGATAAATTAACATAGTGACGCTAATTCTAAAGAATGTTTTTAATTTTCAACCTGATAGTCATAAGTCTGGTAGTCATATCTGATTACTTGTTATCTTTGCATTTATTTGGGGTACAATGCTGCTTTAAAGTGGCTCCATTTACATTATTTTTAAAACTAGCTTATTTTCCTTTTAAAATTTATCACAATGCTCATTCTTTGCTAATTGATAACCAAAATTAAAAACCTCTATCATCTTCCCTTCTCTAACAAGGTCCACTGAGCCAATCATTTCAGTCACCTCTGTGCGGATAACTCCCAAACCTGTAACTCCAGTTCTGTCCTCTTTTGAGAAATCTAAACCCACATTTCCATCTGCCTATTTGGTGACTCCACTTGGCTCTTCTGCTGGCATTGCAAATAGATTATATGAAAAAAGTACAACAAAAACTCTTCTTTCTCCCAAGTTTAATAACAGTACAAACTTCCATCCCATAATTTCTCAAACTAGAAAACAAAAAGACATCTTTAACTTCTCTTCCCACACCTCTCATATCCAGTTACCAAGTTTTGTAGACCCTGTCCCCTCCATTCCACTCCTCTTGCCATGACGCTCATTTAGGCATTCATTAAAGAGCAGAAATCTGGGTTCACAGACTGGCAGTGGCCTCACTATGTCAGCTGAGACAAGTAGAGTAAAATGATTCTAAAGACAAGTTACTCACAATATTACCATGAAACTCCCCTTTTCTACCTTCTTGTCAAGAATAGTTTCAACTTCTGCTGAGAAAATTCAAAGCAGAGGCACTTCTCTGACACAGAAGAAGTCCATATTATAGAATGGCCACACACTTCATTATCCTGCACTGTCTCACAGAGGAATCGAGAGCCTGTGGGCCTTTGACCTAGTTGTTCCTGACATAGAATAGCCTTTAAAAGTCTATTATATTTTTAGGCATTTAAGAATGGGGCAGCTATATATTCCAACAAAATACAGAACTTACAGAACAAAATATGGTGTTCTATAAACTTTTTAAAGAATGAATATACATGATGGTAGAGGGATGCATATATGTAAGAAATATACGTATTTCTGGGAAAATATACATAAGAAACGGTCAGTGTTTGTCTCAAGGAGGGGAACTGAGAGGATCAGGAACACATCTTTCACTGTACATTTTCTTGCTTCTTTATTTAGTAACAAGTGCATATCCTACCTATTTTTTAAAATAATTTTTAAACTCTATTAGATTTTTAAAAAATAGTAACTTCATTCCTCACTTGTCAATCAATAATGCTCCAAAGAAAGAGGTAGGAACTCCATACTTGGCTTTAGCAAGCCAAACATTTTTGCCTAAGCAGACTCATCGAGTGAGTTTTGTGGCCTAGTACAAAGTCTGGATGCATCTTCCAGTTTTTTGCAAAACATGTAGTTTTGAAGTAACATTTCCATATCACCACCATTTTCATAGGACCCCAAGAGCCACATCATTCACTCAAAAAACCTGGAAGCAAACTGGCTGAATATTTAGCAAAAGGATAATTTTACCTGCTTAAAGAAAATCAGATTTCTTAAGGTTCTTTCCATATTAAGAGCCACCTGTAATTGTATAACATTTAAACCAATAGGTAACAATAGATAAATAAACTTAAAAGGATAATAAATTTTGTTCTTTACTTACAGAGGCCAAACTCTGTGCAGAACCCGAGTATTTACTGAAAAGTCCTCCATTAGCATAGTTACAAGACTGAGATCCTTTGTCTTTGACAGAACTTAAAGATAATGTCAAATTCTGTCTACTACTGGAACAACTTGAACCTACCAAACAAACATATAAATATTACAAATATCAATAAGTCCAATGATAAATTCCAAGTAAAATCTCCAAGTTTATGTTATATTCATTCAGAAAGCTGATCTTAAAATGCATTTCGCTCAATTTGTAAATTATTAAATGTACACCACTATTAAAATCTATATTTCTATACAATGTTTTTAATATTGCTAATATTTGCTTCTGAAATGAAGAACAGAACATTCATCTAATTAATCAGGATGGAATTTGATGGTCTATCATAATCAGTATAAAAATACTGACAATGATGAACTGCTCTGGCCAGGTGGCTCAGTTGGTTGGAGCGCTGTCCTGTACACCAGAAGGTTGTGGGTTTGATTCCCAGTCAGGGCACATCCCTAGGCTGCGGGTTCAATCCCTGGTCAGGACATGTACAGGAGGCAACGGATCAACGTTTCTCTCTCTCTCTCTCTCCCCCTCCCTCTTTCTCTTAAAAAAAAAAAATATATATATATATATATATCAATAAAAACATATCCTCAGGTGAGGATTAAAAATCAACCACCACTGACAACTATGAGTCTTTAACTTATAAATTTAACAATATAAGCACTGCCTTTCCTGAATTACATCTAAACCTTATCCATATCACATTACATTGTAGTTATTTTTTTATACGTCTGTCTCCCTTAACCATCGATCCATTCATCTAGGGCAGACATTGTGTCTTAGTTTATCTTAATACAGCAGTTAAGACACTCGTAAATTCAAATGCTACCATTTATAAGTTACATGAGCTTTTTCCACTTATGTTTTCTGTATGTATAAAATGGGAACAATAGCATAAGTTATAATCCTAATTCACAGGATTGCTATCAAGGTTAAGTAACACAGTAAATATATAGCAGTTAGCACTGCACCTGAAATCTAATAAAATCTTAGTAGGAGCCATCATTACTGTTGTAATGTTCACTGAATTTGGTATAAAATAGTCACTCAATTATTTGCTGTGCAAATAAATCAGAAAAACATATCATACACTAAATCATAAATTTAAAAATAATTTTAAAATTAGGAAAATAAGAAATCCAGCATGCTCAAGAAATTATTTTTATTGATACAATTTTGCAATATGTACTATATCACCAACAAAAACTCTATATATCCTCTAAATGTATTCTACTTCTAGAACTTTATGTACTAAGGAAAGAGTCAGAAAAGTATATGCAAAGCAAGAAAACATCCTAAAGGGAACAATAGGGAATTGATTAAATAAATTAGGGTTTATTTGTACAAAATTAACACTAAGTACATATTAAAAATGGTAGCACATATGTCAATTATTTTCAATAAAACTGAAAATTAATAAACACATAAAAATGAAAGTTACAGCATAAAGATATATTTATTGACGCGGAAGGACAGTCTTACATATTGTTAAATATTTTAAGAGCATGTTACAAGAGGTATGATCAGAATTTTACCTAAAATATAGAAATCATTTCCTTGTATATAATACAGTAGTCTCCCCTATCTGCCAGGAATACATTCCAAGATGCCCAGTGGATTCCTGAAACCACGAACAGTAGTGACCCTACGTATACTGTTTTTCGCTATACATACATACTTTATGGTTTCTCTTTGACATATCCAAATTGTCAGCTTCATTACTCTTGTGCTTTGGGGCCATTATTAAGTGAAACAAGGGTGACTTGAACACAAGCACTGTGATACCGTCACAGGCAATGTGATAACTGGAATGGCTGCCAAGTGATCAGCGGGCAGGTAGCGTACAGTGTGGGTGTGCTGGACAAAGGGATGACTTCAGACCAGGCCGGATGAAACAGGGCAGCATGAGATGTCATCGCACTACTCAGATCAGCATACAGTTTAAAACTTATGAATTGTTTACTTCTGGAACTTTCCATTTAATGTTTTCTGATGGTTAGCCAAAGTTAATTGAAACCACAGAAAGCAAAACCGTGTATAGGGGAGACTCCTGTATAAAATTTTGTGTCCCAATATGATCTTTAAATGGAAATAATAATGGACAGACATACGCCAAAATATTATCAGTAGTTATTTCCAGGGTAGCAAAGTTTCTAGCGATTTTCATTTTTTCTGCTTGCTCACCCGTATTTTCTAATTTTTCTAAAATTAATCTGCATTACTTGTGAGTTAAATATTAAGGAAGGAAATTTTGGAGACTAAACCACTGAAATCACTGCATTCCAGTTATGATTTACATATAAAATGTCTTTTGTAGACTTAATTTAGCTATTTCTACATACCTTTGTCTGATGCTGCTCTTTTAGTGTATTCAAGTATGATGTGCTCTGGTTCCCATGGTAATATTTTTCCTTTCTTCTTTCCACGTCTTCTTTTAAAGTGATGGGCCAGAAAAATTACAGATACGGCAGTCACTGCAGTTACCACAAACAACTTTTTAGCTACTGGAGAAAATCTGATCTGGAAAAGATGCAGTTAGATTGAAAAAAAAACATCTTTTCACTTAAAGACATAAAAACTAAAATTATTCTTAAGCTAATCTAGTGGTAAATGCTACCCAGATAATATTATTTTATTCATGCAATGCAGCTAGTTAATTTGAACCAACATCCCTCCACCTCCCAAGAAAGGAAATGTAGTAATTTATTACCCACTGCTCTAAAGTTCTCAGGTAAATAATATTACCCAAGGAATCAAGAGGAGCATAAAATAATTCAACCTCATTAATATTTGTTGAACTAATGATTAATTCGTGCAACTAAATCTTCTGTCTGAATCATAGCAAGATTTTTAATTATTGGAATGATTAAATCAGACATTCTCAATAAATCAATTTTTTTTTAACCACCTGGAAATTTGAATAAACATACATTAACTCAACTTCTAAATACCATCTGAATAAGTCCTTTTATTTGTGAATTAATCAAATTCTCAGCATCTTACAATGTACCAGGACTGTGCTATGAAAATGAAAATATATAACTGTACCAATTATGTTCCATAAGCATTTAGGGAATGCCTTCCATTGATCAGGAAGCACTGGGAATACAGAAGATATCAATCTTGCTTGTCTCAAGCAGTGTGCTAACTAACAGTAGAGACAGATATATTAACAAATAACCATAGTATAATGTGATGAATACAGTGATATAAGCATGTATTTAGTACTAATATCAGAGCAAGAGATAATTAACTCTGTCTTGGGGGACTGACACTATTAATCACCTAAAATGCAGAAGAACTCTAAAATAAAGCTATAGGGTTGGGGGTGTATACAAGCTGTAAAGAGTGTCTCTTCCAACCTTACAACAATAAAAAAGGGAGCGGAATGGCAAGTTCTCATTTTTTCTCAAACCCATCAGAACGCTGTGGTCAGAGGGCAATCAACTGGCCCCCAAACTAAGGAGACACAGGTTTTTGCAGAGAGAGGGATAAAACGTGCACCCTGGCACACGGCAACAAGACACAGCATTAACATAAGTGATAAGTGTTCAGCTAGGATGGTTGGTAAATTGGTGGAGACTGAGTGTGCACTGGCAGGAGAGGGTGCAGCACCCCCTGGGGGGTAACGTGTGCTGCACACTTTTTGCAGCTTTTATCATCAGAATCCCACCAGGCACGCAGAAAAGACTACAAGAGTCCTAAGAAAGTCTCCCTAATGGTGCAGAACTGGAAAAGGGAAACAGTAGTCTCTGTGGAGGGGCATGAATTGCATCAGTTCCCTTCGTCTCTATTGCCACAAAGAAACAAAAGCCTCAACCTGTGGAATGCAGCCTTACCTTTAGAAGGAAATTTAAATGTCTATGTTAAGAAAAGAAGAAAGGCATCAAATCTGTAATTTGAGTTTCACCTTCAGAAACTAGAAAAAGAAGAGCAAACCCAACCCAAACCAAGAAGACAGGAAGGAATAAAGACGAAACAGAAATCGATGCAGTGGAAAACCAAACGGATAAAATCATGAGCTGGGTTTTTTAATCAATAAAACCTCTAGCCAGTCTGATTTTTAAAAAGACACGTTGCCAAAAGTAGAAATGGAAGATGGGCCATTACTACAGACCTCATAGTATGAAAAGGGTAAGAAAGGATGACTGTGAACAACCCTACGCCCATAAATTCAACCACTCAGATGAAATGGACCAAATTCCTTGAAAGACTGAAACCATCAAAATTTACTCACAAAGAAACAACAATTACTATCTACTAAAGAAACTGGCTATGTAGTTAAAATCTTCTAACAAAGAAAACTATAAGACAATTTCTACCAAATATTTAAGGAAGAAATATCAATTCCATTGAAAGAGGGGATGTTTCCCAAACATTTTATGAGGCCAGCATTACTATGAATATCAAAGCCAAAAAACTAGACTATGTGTTGATAGGTACTGAGGCTGGATGCCAGGTATAGGGGGATTCATTATGCTATTCTATTCTGTATATGCTTAACATTTTTGGAAATAAAATTATTTTTATTTGAAACTCACAAAAAGCTACTAGAATAAGTGAGCTTAATAAAGTTGGTTAGAGCGTCGTCCCAATACGCCGAGGTTGCAGGTTTGATCCCCAGTCAGGGCACACACGAGAAGCCACCAATGAATGCATGGATGGGTGGAGCAGCAAATCAACATTTCTCTTTCTATTTCTCTCCCTCTCGCTAATCAATTTTTAAAAGAAAGAGAGAGACTATAGACTTTATTCTGATTTCACCAGTTTTTCCACTACTGTTCCTTACTATTCCAGGACCAAATCAGGATACCACACTGCATTTAGATAGATTTTTATTTTTAAGTGCTTAGTTAATTCTTAGACTCTCTCACTCAACACTCTGAATTTGGACAATCAACTAGAATACTTACCCCTTCATGTGGTGATTTCCAACTGAAAAATAGAGTGTGTTTGCATTAACATGATACATTGTAATATTCCAAAATAATCTTTAAGAAAACCACAGAAGCTAGAGTCAAGTATTTTGTTTAGAGTGTGTATTCATTAAATGAAAGAGAAAATACTTGGAAAATGTATTACTCCTTAAATAAA